CGCTTAAGTGATGGTGTTTCATGCCTATTGTGTTTTAAATTGTTAGATTTTGTAACATGGAAGCATGCCAATTATTTCTAATAATTTTCCTATAATGAATGTTGTGTTGTTGATAATAGACTTGTTAGATATGAAATCGTCAATTGGCATGGCATAAAAAGCATGGTACATTCATGCATGACATTGGGCAAGAAAATGGGTAATGTGATTTGAAAAGGAAAGAAATGGTTTTTGGGAAAAAAGTTTTGATGAAAGGTTTGCGAAAACCCGGTCGCCTAGAAGTTGCCTAGGGTCCATGGCATTAGTATGACCTAGAGGGAACTGGGGATACTTCCCTAGCGTGGTTGAGTTACCTGGACCCCAAATGACGCCATTGAGTTGCCATGGGTCAGGGACAGTTAGCCAATCCTTCTCTCGTGCCGCCATGGAGTTGCCATGGGACGGGCTGCATTAACAGTTGGAAATGATGACGGATAAAGGTTTTGAAATGGGGAGCGACATTGTATACCATTGCATTCCATAACATTGCATGGCTTGATGAGAATTTTGATGCGTTGTTGTTAGAGTTGTTATGTTTTCCCTTCTGAATAAACATGACCCCTCTTTCCTTTTCCTATGCTTTGTATGGATTCACGGGGTCACAAGAGGTGTGTCTTAGGCACCTCCTACTGAGCCATTATGCTCACCCCTTTATATTAACATTTTTTAAGACACGGGAAAGAAGTGGCAGACGACGTTTCACCACGGACTTAGTTCGGAGTAGATGATTATTTCTGCTATTTTGTGTTTAAGTCCTATTAACTTGTTAAGCTTCAGTTTGTTGTATCTTGTATCAAGACTTGTGGATTCCCGTTGTTGTATTTTGTTTATGGACTGTGATCTTGTTGTAATTAAAGTGCAATTCATGTAAATGACTTTGGGACTATGTAATAGATATGTAATTTCATAATTATGAATGGATGGAGTGTATATTCAATATTTTACAATGTGTTGGGGCAGGTTTAGATCAGTTTCAATACCAAGGCCTTTCTTCATTTTCACACTGGTTGAAATTCAGTAGCAGGTTCTCAGCTCGCAGAGTCATTTCGGCCTACCAAAATGACTGCTTCGGCCGACCGGTCACTGTTCCACCCAAATTCCTGTAGCCTCGTCTCATTTTTGGCCACAACCGGTCGACCGGTTGGCCCATTTCGGCCTACCGAAGTGCCATTTCTGCCGACCGAAATACATGGCCTACATTGTTCTTGTCCCACCATCTTTGGAGCTATTCTTTTACCTTGTAGCAGTTCTTTGGCTCCCGTGTTGAGTTGTAGTTGTGCATAAAAGATGTCGCGACATGTAGATTGACGATGGTGCCCTTAGGTGACCTCGGGTTCGAGTAAGGACCCGGTTAACGGTTCGAACCTAGGGGTTCGGGTCGTTACATGAAATATCTTTATTATTTTTATTTTTATTCTTATTAGCTGTTTTTAGCCTTTTATTATGTGTTTTATGTAGGGATCACGTAGATAAGATCCCCGTAATCATGATTTCCTTTCTTTGTACCCTATTCTTGTATATAAATATAGATCTTAGCTCTCGGTTTGAGTAAGCCAAAACTTCTTCTTTTACAAATGATATCAAAGCCGGAATCTAACCAGAAGTGTGGCTAACGAGGATGTTGGGCCCCATGGAGGGGTGGGATGTGCTGGCAGGCTACATGGTGTTATGATCCCACATCGCTTGGGAAAGGTGAAGTGCTATATGTAGGTTCTACACCCTTCAATGACACAACGCATTTTAGTCGTGAGGGTCGTGAACCTACCAAAACTCCAGAGTTGAGCCTGCTTAACCTGGAGTAGTACCAGGATGGGTGACCTCCTGGGAAGTCTCTAGTCCAGGAAAGCCAAAAGCGGATAATATTGTGTCTGGATAGGGCGAGGGTTGTTACAGTTTTTCTATACCCTTCATGCAATGTTGCATTCCTCCGCCTCCAAACAACCCATATGATAGTAGGCATAAGATATTGAAGTAATTTACTATGCATAGAAGACCCCCTAACGTGATCGAAAAACCACTACACCAACTAAGATAAGCAAGGAAATGGAGGAACAATAATACTCAACAACTGGAACACCCTTTCCCAAACTTCTTTAGCAAAAGGGCAGAGAACAATAGAGGAGCCTCCACCATTGTATTGTGAATGAGTTGAGAGCGTATTATAAAAGTGATGCAGCCTAAAGGCTCTTTGTGTCGTGGATGTAGGCCCTAGTGGCCGAACCACATACTTTCCGTGTGTTCTACTCGTTTAATTTCTTCTTTCACTTTTGTTTTATGCTTTACAACATGGTATCAAAGCCTAATTTCTCTTCCTAGGTTCGGACCCCTATTTTGGGGAATTCGCTTAGCATCTGAAATGTTGCCAAGGGTTTCTCAGTGCTATTTGTGACTTATTTGGACTGCCAGTGTGGTCGGTAGCATTGTTTTTCGCCTATGCTGTGTCTCCGGCAGTTTGTATTGACTTGTTTGGAATGTAAATAGTGACAATAATTGTGCCTTACAATTAGGGATTATATTAGCTAGCATTGACTTACCCTAAATAAATTGTTGTAATTATGGGATTAGATTAATCGACTTACCTTTTAGATAGCTGCTGTAATTACTACACCTTGATTGTAGCCACTTTGTTTGGCAAATCTTGTATTATAAATTGTAATGGGAACCAAAGGGAATGTATCACTTCCACGTCCGAAAATCTGTTGTGGCTCTGTTTTCTCTTCTTACATGGTATCAGAGCAAGGTTAGTCAAAGAATTGTATTTTCATTCTTTGATTACACTTAGGTTTAGATATCTATTATGTTTTCTGTTTGATCTGGTTCAACTCTACATTCTTTGCTGCGCTGTGGTTTGGATATTTGTTCAATCTCTGTCCAGATCTGTTTGACAACATTTCATTGTTTGATTACACTCTGGTTCCAATAGTTGTTCAATTCTGTGTATGAATCTGGTTGACAGCATCATCAACCTATCAGTAAGCTCTGCTATCTTTGCTGATTGGTCTCCTTGCTTTATTGTGACTAACAACTCTATTGAAATCTATTCAAATTCCTGTGTCTCTTTGCATCTCTAATCAACTGCTGCTATGGATAAAAGTGACATCATTCCTGTTCATCTTAGTGGAGGTGTCAACTATGTGGGATGGTCTTTCCATCTCAAACACTTTGTCCAAGAACAAGGATTGGCTGAATTTTTAGACAGAACAATGGCTGAACTCACTGATGACAAAACTAGAGTCACATGGATCCAAAACAATTCAAAGGTTGTCACTTGGATCTTGAATTCCGCTGATCCTTCAATCGCCTTATCCCTTGAGTCCTTTAGTAAAGCCTCAAAGATGTGGAAACATCTGAAGAAAGTCTGTCACTAGACTAACAAATCAAGAAAGTACTACATTGACATGGAATTGGCTAAATACAGTCAAGGCGATAAGACTGTACAAGAATACTACAACGGCTTCCTTGCACTCTGGCATGAGAAGGATTCTATGATACTAGAAGGTGATGACGCTACTACACATTCACAAGTTCTGAAATTGAAAGAGGAATCCGATGTTAATCAGTTCTTGATGATACTACGCCCAGAATTTGAGTCTGTTCAGGCTGCTTTGATGAATAGAGAAACTGCTCCAGATTTAGATACATGTTTCCAAGAGGTTTAGAGGAGGAACTTCACCTTCAGTCGCAGCATGTCATCATAGAAGATTCAAATGCCTTTCATGCATCGGCTTCAAGCGAGACAGCTCGTTTTTCTACAAATAGCAGACCTGTACAATGCTTTAAATGTAAGCAATCTGGCCACATTGCTCGCTATTGCAAAAACAAGAACTTCTGCAATTACTGCAACAAATCTGGGCATATCATTTCTGATTGTCAAAGACGTCTATCATTTCTGAATGTTGATTCAGTTTTTTTTAACTTTTTTGTAATTCTAATGGAGTAACTGAATTTCTGGGATGTAATATTTTTATATTGTGTGTTTATTTATGTTTTTATTTTTGTTATTGTATTTGTATTTTTTTTTAAGAAAAATTACAATAATATTGAAAAAGTCAGCTTGGTCAACGGTTCCATGGAACTGAACCGGAACCGAAATTGCCCACGGTTCTGGTTCCAGCAGGAATCGTACCGAACCGAACCGTGTGCTCCCCTACCAGCAAGACGAATAGGAATGATGTCACCTTTATCCATAGCAAAAGTGGATCAGATATGCAACGAAAGAGTCGAATCTGAATAGATGTCAACGGAGTTATTAGTCACAATAATGCAAGGAGACTAATAAATCAGCAAGGATCTACTCTAAGCAGAGGTTTCAGAGAGGTTGATGATGTTGTGAATCAGATCCGGACAGAGAACTGAATAATGATCTAAACGAAGAAAAAAAATGCTAGTCTTTGACTAACCCTGCTCTGATACCATGTTAATCAAAGAAAATGGACTCAAAGCAGAATTTCTGATGATGGAAGTGATGCACTCCCTTTGGGTTTCATTACAATTTATATTACAAGATTTGCCAAACAAGTGGCTACGATCAAGGAGGAGTAATTACAGTATGTATCTAAAAGGTAAATCACCTAATCAAATCCCATAATTACAGCAACTATATTAAGGTAAGTCAATGCTAGCTAATATAATCCTAAATGTAAGGCATGATTATTGTCACTATTTACAAACATAACGCCAAGCACATCCTAATTAGACCATGGAATAAAGAAAATGGCTCTATTCCACAGAAATAAGCACACTGTAGAAATTCATAGACTAAAGCAAGTGGCTTCTAGTTTGCAGTTTGTTGCAGGCCTTTTTATCAGATAAAGAAATTGAGGAAGACAATAGACTCAATTCATCCAAAAAAGAATGCCCTATCTAGAAAGAGGAAGATACAAAGTAAATGAATGAAAACAGGGCGGAAAAATGGCTAACAGTTCACAAAAATATGTCATATCGTAATTATTAAAAATTACCTTGGTTGGTGAACCACCATGCAAATGTTTACACCTTCAAGAGCTTCACGACGAAGTGCTCTCAGTAGTAACAGAGAAGAAGAACTGTCCAGACCAGAAGTAGGTTCATCTAAGATCAGCAGAGAAGGTTCCATGACCATTTCGAGCCCAACATTTACTCGTTTCCTTTGGCCTCCGGAGATTCCTCGCCTCTCCACTGTCCCGACCAGGGAATCCCGCACAGGGTGCAGTCCCAAGCACTCGATGACTCTTTCAACAACTAGAACCTTTTCTGCTATTGGTAGATCAGCTGATAGTCTACAACCAGATATTCAGACTGAATTAAAAATAAATAAAAATTATGGTTGATGGAGAATAAATTATTATGTCACAGAGAATACACAAGCAGCTAAAATGAAACAAAAACAGCAATAAGTGAAACAAAAAATTTCTCTTTGAATATGCGTTCATGTTGGAATATGGGGCAATATTCATGTAAGGAGCATAATTAGTTGGATTTTACCACACGGGGTATTACTGTAAATTATATTTTTTATTAATATAAATAAATGGGTGCAGAGATGTTAGAATCACTCGATAACCCTTTCTTACGTTCTCTTTTCTATTCTTATGTCTTTTCTCTTCAAACCCTAATCATCCAAACCCTAAAATATAATTTCAACTTGGTATCAGAGCAATGTTTCAACATTACGAGGACACCACAGTACTCAAAAGAGTTGGAAAAGGCCTAGACGTGTGCTGACATCAGTGTCCGTATGCTGATGTCAGCATGTTAGGGCTCGAAATCCCTCTCCCTGGATCACCTCTTTCTGCTGAAAATCTTGGTATTTTTTCCTAATTTGATGCAGCCGTGTTCTAGTGTTTTTCATTTTCTTAAACAATTTTCTGGTGAAGAGGCTGTTTGTTGCAATCTGTTTGATGTACCATTTTTCGTTGGAGTTTTTGCTTCATCCATCACAGAGGGGTGCAACTAGGCTTTATTAATGATTGTGTTGATTTTGGTTGCATGATTTGAAGGATTGAATGGTTTATTCTACATTTTTGTCTTGTGGCCCTCTTGAAAATCTCTACTGTTTGGTTTTGAGGCAAGTTTTTCATGATCCAGACCTGTTTTTGGTTTTGTTTTGACATGTTATGGCATCCCACTCAAGGCTGGTAGTTGTGTGATTGTCCTGCTGCTTTCTCGGTGTGTTCTTCAGAATCCCTTTGTTTTTTAGGCAACTTTATTTATTATTTGAGATAACATGTCGGAGGTCAGTGGAAGTACTACAAGTACGGACAGAGGCGGGTTAGGCCATGTCTCGGCCTTTGTTGATAACCATGTCTTTTCTCTTCTTTTTCTTCGTTCTTTTCTCTTCAAATCCTAATCCTCCAAACCATAAAATATAATTTCTACTGTTTACAAAAAAGAACTTGTGCATTTGAATTTTGAACACAAACTATGGCTAAAAACACTGTAAATATCACTTGTTAATGCCTGGTCATAGATTTCTTTGTTAACTTTCTCAATATCATTCATGTAATGGAAGTAGTGTCAATAATAGATTTCAGATAAGCAAGAAGTCAAGTGGCACCAAATGTCATGTAGACAAAACAGATACAAAATATTTACATGAACTCAAAAGGCATTTGAAATTTCTCGAGTTTAGACTTGTCTGATATAAAGGAAAGAAAGGAAGAATGGAAACTTGAAGAATTTTTAAACTTTCAGTATCAAATTCCTGCCTTTTAAATTCTTGCATATGGTTGAATCCTCAAGAAGTGATAAGAAAAAGCAACATCTTCGGAATCAAAAGCAAATTATAGATGAAATGAATTTCAACTCTTACAGTCCAAGTTGTTTTGACAGTCCCTAAACATTGCAGCATCCATCTTTTGATGACAAGACTTATAATTAGTTACCATGAGTGAATATACAGGAAACGATAGATTTGCATATCAAATGCATGATAATGAACATTGATTACCAAAATAATCTATTTACAGTAAATTAGTTGGTTCAGGAAAATTTGCAATTCTGTAAAATACTTGAAGTGACAACAGAAAGAATTACTTAAACAATTATGCATTTGTACTGGTTGGTGATAAACTTCTAGGATTGTGTTCAGAATATGTGAAACAGCAAAAAAAAATTAACATGAGCTGAGCTGCATGATGGAACAAGACGATGCATACCTGCAACTTGCACTGAACCAGAGATTCTCCTCCACTGTTAAGTTTCCATGCACTACATCGTCTTGTGGGACAAACCCAATAATTTTCTTGTATGATTGGATTGGTTCAGTCTTCCCATTTATAAGAATCTTACCACGAATAGTGCACCCAGTTGCTTTCCCAGTCAAAGCAGAAAGAAATGTTGTTTTCCCAGCCCCAGAAGGACCCATGACAGCAGAAATGTGGCCAGGAATAAGTTTCCCTGTTACAGACCTCAGTAGATGCTTGTCTTTCCCTTTCAATGTAAGTGTTAAATCTTTGAAATCGACCTCAATCGTTGGCCTGTTCCTGATTCCGGTATCACTAGCCATTGATATTACCCCTGAGAAAGTCAAATTCTTGTTCTGCTCCTGCAGAGCTTTTTCCTTCTCAATTTGATCATATGCATACTTGAAAATTTGGGTGCGAGTATGCAACTGCTTACCCCTCGGCATATTCTTCTTCAAATTCTTATCTCCAATTTCCAGATGGAAGCCGTCATGACCCTCAGGGTTCTCCTCAAGCTCACGCATCATCTTTGTAAGGTTGCTCTGCTCCTTATCTTTTTCTTTTGAACGAGACACACTCGTAGACATAGGTGGTAAGGAAGCATCTTTCCCAGGCTTAGCTTCACCAAGACTCTTCAGCTTATCCAGTTTACTTACAGACTTTTTACGAGAAAATGTTCGTGATATCTGGGTCTGCAGTCCAATTGCATGCTTCCTGGCAACATCTTTTGCAGATTTCCATCTTTCATGTGACTCTACAGTTTCCCTTGCACTTTTTGCCCCCCTTTCCCTGGATTTTGCTTGTCTTTTTTCTCTAGTAGTGAGAACTTGATCTGAGCAGTTGTAAATAATGAGAAGTAGAAGCGTTAATGCAGCCTGTATTGACACGTGTTAGGGGTCAGTTCCCAAAGGATGTGTTCACAAACTTAGTCATTAATGCACAGGAGCAGAAATCTGCGGTTTGAATTAATGAGATCATGATGTATGTTTAATATTCCAAAGAAAATTATATTTTATAACAGGAACAGAAGATTGTTAACAAATTTACTGAAGTTTCTATTGACGCATCCAAAACCCGGGGTGACCCAGACACCAAGTTAATTGAGGAATCAGGTTAGTGGGTCAGTCATGGGTGTTGGAGGACATGGACTGGTTAATGAAATTACCTATTTCTGGTCCTGTCTATGTGGCTAAGGGAGGAAGAATGGATACAAACATTAACCTTAACCGTTATTTTGCACAAAATGATTGTTTCCATAGTCGAATTCGTGTTCCTAAGCTTTTATAAATGCAAAGAGCAATGGCCTCAAGCTTTTAGAGACAGAAGATGATTAATACAATGGAGGGTCGTTGCATGATTCAGCGGTATAGGGCTTGAACATCAGTGTCATTGGTGCGAGTTTGAGCCTTGGAGCAGCCACTTTGTGAAATAGAAAAGTTGGGCCTGTCTTGGTTCCTACCTCCCCAGGACCTTGTTGTAGCGGGACCAGAATGGGTAATCTCGCTTCTTAATACAAAGAGCAGCTAAGTAATTTTGAAGTCACTTAAGCTTTAAGGGGATATTGTTATTAACATACACCAATCAATAAAAATAAATAAATACACAAATAATGTCACTAACAAGCTGTCAGAGTTCTTATGCGTATAACTTTTTCATTGATAGTAATGCAACGAAAGATATGTCTAATGGAAGTGTGACTATAGTAAAAAAAAGTGTTGGAGAAATTATATCCAGTTACTGTAAACTTATGTCATGGAGCAGCATGAAAGCCTTCACAAAGGATGGATTGATAGAATACATAAAGGATGAGGTTCCATCTTTTATGTTATTTGCTGAATACAACTGATGGAACCAGAGAGTGGATAAACACTAAAATGGAGGTATTAAGAGAAACTCTACAAATAAGAGGGTTTAAACTATTGGGAGTTAATTCAGGATTTGATATTATTTGATAGGATTTGATATTATTTGATATTATTGTCATCATCTACATCCTACATTAGAAGCATAGGATCTGTGATATGACATACTATATCAGAGGTATAGGATCTGTGATTTGATTACGTTTCCATTTATGTAATACTCACCATGTAATATATATAGGAGTATGACTAATAACATCAGTAGCTGATTACAGCCTTTCACATTCAACTTGGTATCATCTGCCTGATATTTGACTGTAAATACCCATTTACAGCCCACAGTTCGCTCTCCTGGTGGTAAAGTAACAAGCTCCTATGTCTAATTTTTCTGCAAGGCATCCATCTCAGCAACCATAGCCACTTTCCAGTGCGGGTCTCGCAAAGCCTCACATACAGTGCGAGGGATGAAAATAGTAGAAGTGGCAGCAAGGTAGGTCCTGTAGGCATGCGAAAGTCCCTGATAAGAAACAAACTGGGCAATAGGGTGTTTATTCACACATGTCCGTGTACCTTTTCAGAGTGCAATAGGCAAATCAGAATCAGAACTAGGTGAAACATGATCTGAAGTAGAACTAGGAACAGCAGGGTTAGGAATACCTGTACCAGAAGAGAACGGTGGCAGAGAGGTGGAAGGAGGGTCCCGTGGGCGACAAGTGTATACACAAATTTCTGGATGAGCCATAGGCAGAGATACAGAGTTAAAATTGGTGCAGGTCGAGCCGGAGGTGAGGAAGACACTAGAGGACTGATCGGAGATGTAGAAGAAGATGGAACATACAAAAAGGATGTGCCAAAAAAGGGAACATCTTCGAAAAAAGTGACATCAAGAGTGAAATATTCAACGAGTGCTAGGGTCATAGCAGCGATACCCTTTCGACATAGTCGAATAACCTAGAAAGATGCAACGAATAGCTTTGTCATCAAGCTTCGTACACGTAGGACGTCAGTCCTGAACAAAACAGGTACATCCAAAAACACGAGGAGTGATAGGGAAAAGGGTGCTATCGAGTCGCAAAATATGCAATGGAACCTTACCCCCTAAAGTACGACTAAGAGTGCGGTTAATAAAAAAAAACTGCAGTGAGAACTGCCATACTCCAATAAGACTGAGGAACATACCACGTAAGAGGCACCGGACAACACTCATGAGATGACGGTTTTTACATTCCGCCATCCATTCTGTTCCGGTGTATAAGGGAAGGTCAACTGATGAAGAATTCCCAGTTCATTAAGGTGAGACCGAAAGCCATTAGAGATATATTCTCCTCCATTATCTGACAGAAGGGTTTTAACTATAGTATTAAATTGGGTTTTAATCATTTGCAAGAAAGAAATAAAAGTAGATGATAACTCGGAGTGTGATTTAAGTAAATAAACCCAAGTACAACGAGAGTAGTCATCAATAAAAGTCACATAATATTTATGACCAGAGTAAAAAGTAACAGGGGAAGGTCCCCAAACATCAGAATGAATAAGATCAAATAAACAAGGACTACGATGCATTCGTGAAATATAAGAGGTGCATGTGTGTTTAGAGAGCTCACACACAACACACCGAAACTGATGGGTTTTACAAGCTGTTTGCAATGCAGGAAATAAAGATAACAAATGCTGAAAATTAGCATGTCCTAAACGAGCATGCCATAAATCAAGTGTTTGGGTTGTAAAAGAATGTCTTTCATGGTCCGGTAATATGGAAGCATGTGCAAGTGTTGGAGACGTCCCAAAGATGTACAACCCATCCCTTTCATACTCCCTGCAAAAAATCCTCTTCGTAACTAGGTCCTGAAAAACACAGTGATCGGGAAAAAAAGTCACTGAACAGGCCAGGCAATGAGTTAAGCGGCTAACAAATAATAAGTTAAGGGAAAGGTTAGGAGTATGAAGAACAGACTCTAAAGATAAAGGAACAGCACCCTTACTGATGATTGGTGTAAAAGAACCATCAGCAAGGCGTGCCTGCCCCTAGGATGCTTCCAAATCTGAAAAACGGAAGCACCAGAATCAATGACCCAAGTTGGAGGAACAATACCAGACTTAGAGGCATGGAATGCAGATGGGGTACCTGAGTGTGTTACAGCAGATGTAGCTGAAGGGATGGTACCTAAGTGAGTTTCAGCAGATGTTGCTGAAGGGAGAGTTGCCTGTGATAGATGATCTCGGATAATAGACCCAATTTGTGTATGCAACTGATGCATATCAATACATCCATGCGGAGGAGCAGGTGGCTCATTAGAAGACTCAGCGATAGCAGCAGTAGTGTTGCTAGATCTGAGGTGTGGGTAGAGTTGGAAGCACCGGTCCTTACCATGACCAGTCTTCCCACAATGTTTACAGATGATGGAACTCCCCCGTCCACGATTACTATTTCCACGACCACGGCTACTTTTTCTCCAGTGGCCAAGCTAACCACTGTCCGCCTTCTCATTTCCTTAGCGACTTGCTACTCTTGGCCTCCTCACCAATTAGATGTGAAGAACGCCCTTCTTCACGGGGATCTAACAGAAACAATTTATATGGATCCTCCTCCTGGTTTTCGACTTCAGGGGGAGTATTATGGGAAGGTGTGTCACCTTTTAAAATCCCTATATGGCTCGAGCATGGTTTCACCGATTCAGCGATGTAGTTATTTCTATGGGGTTCACTCGGCGCCACTCAGATCAAACCTGCTTCTGCCATCATAGTACTCTAGATAATATCATCACAGGTGATGATGCACCTTGCATTGATAAGGTGAAGAGAGACCTTGGGCATACTTTTGAGGTTAAGGACTTAGGTCCCCTTCGTTTTTTTCTCGGTTTTGAGGTTGCACGCTCTAGGCATGGCATTTCTCTCCCAACGGAAATATGCACTAGACCTCCTACATGACGCTGGTATGCTTGGATGTTGACCTGCTGCATCTCCTATGGACCCAACACATCGTCTTCATGCCAAGTCCAGAGACCTACTTCCAGATCCATCTGCTTATCAGCGTCTTGTTGGTCGCCTGATTTATCTGACAAACACTAGACCTGATCTCACATTTGTAGTTAATGTTGTTAGTCAATTCATGCATGCTCCTCGGACCTCACACTTAGATGTAGTATACCAGATCCTTCAGGTCCTTAAGTCCTGCCCAGGACTTGGTTTATTCTATAGATTCACACCACTGCCTCTCATCTCGTGCTACTCTGATGCTGAATACGCTGGATCTTTGACTGACCGTCGCTCCACTTCAGGTTTCTGTACTTTTCACGGGGGTAATCTAATTTCTTGGAAAAGTAAGAAACGAAGTGTTGTGTCTCATTCTTCTGCAGAGGCAGAATACCGTGCCATGGCTCAAGGCACTCGCAAGATCATTTGGCTTCGTTCTCTATTGACTGAGCTGGGATTTCCTACTACTAGTTCATCGACACTTTTCTGTGATAACCAATCTGCTATTATGCTCGCGTCTGACTCCGTTTTTCATGAGAGGACCAAGCATATTGAGGTTGATATTCATTTATCAAAGAGAAAGTGCGCTCAGGAGTTATCTATACTTCCTTCGTTCCCCCTTCTAATCAGCTTGCCGACATGTTCACGAAGTCAGTGGGACTGTCTGCTCTCCGCTCTAGTATTGGCAAGCTGGGCTTAGTTGATATCTTCGCTCCAGCTTGAGGGGGAGTATTGGGAGTTAATTCAGGATTCGATATTATTTGATAGGATTTGATATTATTGTCATCGTCTACATCCTACATTAGAGGCATAGGATCTGTGATATGACATACTATATCAGAGGTATAGGATCTGTGATTTGATTACATTTCCATTTATGTAATACTCACCATGTAATATATATAGGAGTATGACTAATAACATCAGTAGCTGATTACAGCCTTTCACATTCAGCTTAAACTAAATAGGAGTGAATTGAATATGTAGAAGGTAACTTCTTTTTTCTCACAAATGTATAGAATGTAACTTTAGTAAAACTT